CGTTCACAAGTTCACTGCTGAACATACGCTTATCCCAAAGAATGCCATAAAGCAAGGTGCTGGGCCACCTGCATCCAACAACTTCCTGCATTTTTATGTCACTCCATCTGCTGCCTGAGGCTGCCGCTCGAGAACATTTCTTCTCCATCAGTTGTAGGTTCTTCACTGTACTCCAGCTTACTTATCTTTTGATAATATTATTTTAGGACTAATATTTTGCATACAACAACTTTAACGCAAATTTAGGATCACGGTGGTTTGGTACAGGATTATTGAAATGCGGATTGTCGGATCTATGTACATAAGTATTTAACACTGGTTGTTGAGGGCCTGCTAACTACTGATTGCTTCGCAAGTCTTTCATGCAGTTAGGATAATTGGCTGCTTCGTTTTCATTCTCTTGTGCCTATAATATTTAAAAAAAATGTTTGTTCAATAATCCAAGTTTACGTTGCAAGCAGTCACAGAACCGTTCAGTTAAGTTTAAAAAAAAACTTTTATTAGGAAAAAACCCCCTCTTCCGTTAAGGGTATTTTCTTTAATATTATACAGAATATATATATATATATATATATATATATATATAAAAAAAAATATATGAATATAAGTTCTGTGCAGTTCAACAGTGTCCTAAAGTGTTGAAAAGTTATGTACGACATAGTAAAAATCGAATGGAGAATATCATTATTTTTAAATATGACATAAAATATACACAAAATAATTTTAAGATTACTGATAACAATATGCCGTGATATTTGATTTCAGGACCCCAGCCGACCCAAATACAAGTGGATGGTAGAATTCACGGAGAATATGTCCGGAACGACCGGGCAGTACACTCCTTACAGCACTACAAGGCCCAAAGTTGAGCCCTGGATTCCCAAACGTAATAGCAACGTTTAAAATGTTTATGTAAACATTTTAAACATTGCTATTACTTCGGTTGGCGGGCTTAAAGTCAGGCTTTTATTTAATTTCAAATCTATTCAAATATATAAAAATAAATGATAGTAACAACATCATCCTTTTCAATCAATAAAACGTTGTACATTTTAGATTTAAGTAGGAAGTGAAATAAATTGTTAATTTTATTTAATGTTGTCTTTTTTATTTTATTTCCATGTTACGCTTTAAATTATATATATTTTTTAATATGGAGTATTGTGGATAAATATTTCCAGATGCGTCGGACTTTACGCGATGTCCTCCCATCAGGCTTCAGTGCGAAACTATAGGCTACGATAACACCAATTAAAATTGGGAATCGTGCAACAGAATCATAGGGTACCCAACAGTTGGCTGACTTAATGAAGAGGGGACTCTTAATGACGTACTCTCTTCCAGAAGCGGAGCCACAGAAAGCGGACCTAGTTCAGCCCCGACGCTTAAAGAAATCATGAGATAGACTGTTGATGCAACTGTTCAGTAATCGCGATTTTGAAAACTGGCAGCGATCACCAAATGGTGAGCTGGTCACATGGAATTTAATGTATAGTTAAAGACATCACGTCTTAATCTACTATTAAAGTGAACACTCCGAACAAGAACGCTAAAGAAGCCCCGAAAACATCCAGCACGAACTACAAAATAGCTTGCAGTGCTTAGAAGATTGAAATCATCAAATTTAAAAATTATATTAACGCGGTCGGAGCGAACTTTTCCAAGAGCCAGCGTAGAATAACCCAAAATCTCCGATCGCACTCTTAAACACAGATCAACTAGTGAATTCTACCGAATGTTCTTAAACAGACGATCCGAGCCTTCAAGTCTCGGACTCCCACCACCGTACTGTAGACTGTAGTTGTAGATAGTCGATGGCTATCAGGACCAAAGTACGAAACTTATACGTACGGCCTAAGTACAAAGGAGTTTCGGGGATATGAACATGACCTTTATATATCCGAAACTTTTTAACGCTGCATTAAGGCGCTACTCCTAGCGAACGACCTTGAAGCATTCGGTCCGTCTATACTACACTCCGCGCGCTCTCGCTACTATAATAATATATCGCGTAAGAAATACGCCCAAATTTTTAAATATTTTCTGTATAAAATCGAATTTTCGCCTTGAAAAAATTAAATAGATCAAAATGTTCATTAATAAATTGCCTGTTCATTAGTGTCAACCGCAAAATAAAATATTGCTTACTTTATGAGTAGATGCATGTTATCAATAATTATTTCGGATTTCTTTAGGTTTAGTTGTAGGGAGATTCATCAAGTATTTATTCCTTTTAAAAAAATTGGAATTGGCTATTATTGAATCAAGATTATGTAGCAATTTGATAGATTTTTATTAGTTGACATATCTTCTTAAGTATCTAGATAGCTCCTAAAAATAAAAACCTCACAAATAACGATTAGCGCGGCATTTTGCTCAAACTCGCACTTTAAAAGACGTTTTGCAAGCCAATGGACTGCAAAGGATACGGTATCCGCATTTCTCACCTCCGTTTTGGCTACGATAATAGTTACTATGGAAGAACCACTAGAGGACTGTAGTTTCTATTTTCAATGACCTAAATAGTATCGGCAGCGCAAGATAAAGGTCATGTGTAACGTCAATGTCATACTTATCCGGTCAGTTTTGTACGTGGTAGAGTCAGGCTGCAGATATATTATGGTTGTAGCTCGAATGGGTCGGCTCGACCGGGGAAGGACTACGCTCTCACTGAATACCAGAGTATAAAATAGTAGCTTAATGCTGCTGTGTTTCGTATCGTGAGTGTAGAGAACCGGAGACTCTTTTAACTCGAAACAAGGCATTCCATCTTAGTCGTCAGGGGTAAAAACGCAACTGCAACTTTTGTTTCTTAATCGAGGATAAATGTAGAGGTCTATTGGGCCTCAGCATTCACTTACCATCAGGTGGACTGTGTGCTCGTTTGTCACCCTTATTCTATAAAAAAAGGTCTTTTAGTCAGTCCCACTTCAACCAAGAGGAGTCAATCGTCTTCTTGCTATGTATTCCTCAAAACATTAAAACAAGAGAAACAACAAGTTACCAGTGATGACTTACGAAACTGATACTCAGAGTTTCTCTGCGTCATAGGATCCGTAACGATGATATCCGCAGTTAGAACCAGAGTGTGTGTGAGTGGCAATAGGTCAGTAATGTACGAGGGGTGATCCAAAAGAAATGATAATGAAAATAAAACACGGTAATTAAAGTTGAAATAATAATTTATTTTTCTACATAGTCTCCTAACAAATCAATACATTTAGTCCATCTTTTTTCTAAACCCAGGATTCCCTTTGAAAAAAAATTCTTTGTCTTGACCCTCCCAAAACGCTTTAACAGCGGCCATTACTTCGCTATCGTCTTCGAATTTCTTGCCTCGGAGGCGTTCCTTGAGCCGAAGAAAGAGGTAGAAGTCACTAGGAGCTAGATCTGGCGAATAGGGAGGTTGTTCGAAACCCATTTCTTGAATGGCAGCCATCGCAACTGCGGCTTTGTGAGCCGGTGCGTTGTCTTGGTGAAACAGCACTCCAGCTCGCAGTTTGCCGCGTCTTTTTTCCTTAATGGCCTCCCGTAATCTTCTTATTTAATTTCAATCCCAGTTACTAACTAACAAACAAAAGCACGCACACACACTCACATACACAGACTAACACTAGCACCAGATTTCAATATATATTAAATACTAGTTAGGTATGAAGGTACATTATGTAAATTACAAATATGGTACATGTACATGGTAAAAGTATTGTAATTACAACCATAGGGCGGAGACCTGGTGGCCTGAAATACAGGCGTAAAGCCTAGCTTAGGCACCAGTCTCCCACAGCATAACATTAAGGTGTAATGTTCTAATATTATGTACAATAATTCTGTAATATTGTGGTGAGAAAATAAATCATTTATTATTATTATTATTCTTCCAGGATCCAGGTCTCGTCCATAGTCACAAACCGGAACAAAAATTTTTCTTGATCTGCTTGGAACTTTTCGAGATTGAACCTCAAAATGTCAACTCGATTTTTCTTTTGCTCGTCTGTTAACATTCTGGGTACCCAACGCGCAGAGACCTTTTTCATATGCAACTCGTTCGCAAGGATTCTTTGAACTCTGCCATATGAGATCCCTGTGACCTCAGCTACATGCCTGATGGTCACTCTTCGATGTGCCAACACAACATCTTTGACTTTTTTCACGTTGTCTTCAGTGAGGGACGTGGATGGGCGTCCTTCGCGATGTTCATCTTCAGTGGATGTTCTGCCCAGTTTAAACTCCTTCGCCCAGCGTGCAACTGTAGAATATGGAGGAGCAAAGTCCCCTAATGTTTCCACTAAGTCACTGTGTATGTCTTTTAAAGACATTTTTTTCAAACAGAGGTACTTGATGACAGCTCTAATTTCGTTTTTCTCCATGTTGATGTTATCTCTTTGACAGTTCGTATTCAAATGAATGTATCTCCCGGAAATCGTGATCTATTTATATGATTTTTTTAGGCTGACGTAGTGAGTATATAAGCAAGCAAAAAATATTTTTTTTGGATTTTTATGCGGACCTGAAGTAACCGATTATCATTACTTTTGGATCACCCCTCGTAGATCGATGTCGACGAATCTACATTCAATGCAGCCTTGCACCGGCAAGATGAGCACAGAACACTTAATATAACGGAATAGAAATGCCTTTGTTTCAATTTACTTGCGATACCACTGCCGCCGCTAGTCTCCCACTCCTTTCAGGTAGTTAACACACTCAACTCATATACGCTAGTGCTTGACAAAAAACTATCGATAAAATATCGACACGGAATAATGTAGGTAATAAATATGTGATAAAATAAAACAATATAATGATATAATATGAAACGTAAATTTAATGAAATAAACTTAATGCTATAAAAAAACGTAAAGTAGAAAATTAATTAATTACAAGGAGTAAAACTTACACAGTAAAATGGAAAAAAAAATTAAGACATTTTCATCATTTCAAAAACAAAATATTCATTGAAATATTTATTTATTTATTGTCCTGTAAAATGCAAATATTTATTTAAAAGTTGTCTTTTTGATACTTTTTGTGCTGAGGTTTTCATTAAATGGTGAAGGCGAATATCTGTATACCTTTCTATAATACATTTTGTTAACAATATTACATGGTTTTCCATTGGTCCCTGATCAAATTGATGAAAATCGATTTCTCTGAATACTTCAACGCCAATGAAATGACGTAAGGCTCTGGATGTTATCTGCTTTTTAAACTTTTCAAAATTTTTGACTGATTGAGCATCTACAGTAAAAGTTTTAAGAATTGATTCAATTTTTTTACAAATCAAAATTACGTCAGCGCTAGGAAAAATAAGACCACCGTTGTCTTTCAACCGTATCAATTTAAAATTGTCTTTAATAGCACTGGAATTTAAAAGAGCCGAAATGCAAGTTTCGCATTTAATTTTGTTAAGTAAAAAATGTACCACATTTCCTGCTATGTAGCTTACTACTTCAAAACTAAATTCTGTCATGATATTTTCCGTTTTCAAAACTTCATCAAATTCTTTAATATATTCTTCATTTTCCATTTCTTCTTCAATCATTGGTGATAAAGTAGATTTATTCATTTTTTCCACTGATGAAGAACAAGTCAAAATTGAAATATTTTCAAGTGCCATGCAATTACCACTTTCAAAATTATTCAATTCTAGTTTGACTATTAGTTTTTTATAAATAGCCATGAAATGTCGCGCTGTCGGGTTGTTGTTACACCCACCATGAGCTCTTATATTACCGAATAACAACTCCAGATGATCTTGAGACAACTTATAGGTGGGCAAATATTTTAATTTTTTTCTTCTTCGACAAGCCTTAGGTATAAACTTTTGACACTATTGATGCATACCACAAGACCTAAAAACCCGGTTTTTTTAGGTGATTTAATTATTTCCGTTTCGTTATACATTTTTAGGTTTTTTATGTAATATGCTTCCATTTTGTTTAAAAAAAAATGAACACCATACACATAGAAAGATCTTTGTTTTTGAAATTTATGGGTTTCTTATAGTGTAACTGATTAATATTTCGTGAATTTAAAATATCAAACAAGTCATTAAAATTTTGCAAAAAATCTACTGTGCCTTGGACATCGGTGAACCCCCGGTTGGTTAGTTTTGGAACAAAAAAATTAAAGCTCTAGCTACACTACTGCTCATCAGTTGTGTCGCCAGCTTAACTTTCATTTTTTGGTTGTAGAAATAAATATGGCGGCGTCTTAACTTATTTGCAAGATGCAAATGTTCTTTTTCCTGTAGATGGTTAAGATGGACCAGGTACGACCACTTTATTAATCTACCAAAATTGTCTTTTAATGTTGCGCTTGATTCGAATGCATTTCTTACTAGTTTTAACATGTGGCAAGCATCCAACAAAACGTAAACTGGTTTTTGTGAAACGGGATGGCTAAAACAAGTTTTTATATTATTAATGTCAAAAGAGCATCCGAGAATTTTTGCCATTGTAAGATTAGCAGGACAACCATCAAACGTCAGAGAAACAACTTCAACGCCAGTTGTGCTTAAAAGTTCAAGACACTGTTTCACTAGGTTTGACTTTTGTTCACCTGTTACACCGTCTGTCAGAAAGTATCCGACAGGTATTTTCCATGCCCCATTAATTGCAGTAACAAGGAATACTAAAGCCTCTTTAGCTTCACACAAATTATCCCCACCATCGTTTAAATTGTTTCCGAAATTAACATAACCATGCATACGTTTCCCATCCCATTCGATGCGCTGACGAATCGCCATCTCATCCAACACCAAATTACATAATATTGGATATTGTGTAGATTGAATTTTAGATTTTATAGCATCAAGGGACTCTGTAGTAAAACCAGGTTCTGCGTCAAAAGATTGATACCATTTTTTAATGGTCCTGGGATGAGGCAAGCAGGTCTCAAACTTGCGCCTTACATAAAGGTATGCCTTCGGCGAATAAAAATGTAGCGTCATCGCAAAACTCCGAAGGCTCGGTGAGTATTTTTCACGTGTTAATTTTTTAGATTTTAATTTTTTCTCACATCTTTTAAATAACTCTTTTGTGTTCACGTTGGTGTTTTCTAAAAAAAAGGCTTGGTCGCTATTAATTAATCTGTTTGATTGTAATTCCTTTATTATTTCTTGCAACTCTATAATTTTTTTTCTATATCTCCGGTTTTTACCTTGTAAACATTTTATTTTCGATCGTTGAGTTTTTATAACATTTTCCTTTTCGTTTATAATACGTTGCATTTTTCGTTTTCTGGGAGTTTCCATTATGTCCGGATCTAACTGTATCGCTCGCTTAATAGATTTGGATGACATAGAAGGTGACGGAGATTTTGATGGTGTTACGTTAACTTGGATATCTGATACCTGAAATAACATGTTTGTTAACTTAATAGTTACCTTGCAAAAAGTAACTATTAAGTTACTAATAGCTCTACATCTATCCTCTATTACAGATCAAAATGTAGATGCGTTGTCACCCGTGAGAACTAAGATGGAATGCCTCATTTCCAGTAAAAAGGGCGTCCGGCCACCTGCACTCACCAAGCGAAACGCAGAGGTAAACCGCTACTTCACGCTGGTTTTCTGTGAGGTCGTGGTACCACCCCGGTTCAAGCCGGCCCATCCGTGCGACAGCAAGACTGACTTAATTTCAGTATAATTACACAAAATGTGGTAAAGCATTTCGTTTCCGAATTATATAGTATCAAAAATGCACTAGTGGCGCCACATAATTTCTTTACTGTTTTGCATAATAGAGCCACGGGATGGTTTGTATTTTACTAAAATACTTTATTTATTTAAAAGATACTTACATTTTCAGAAGTTGTCCAAACGTGAATAGTCGGATAAGCATGATCCAAAAGAACACGGCGTTTTCTTGTAGGATTAAAATCCTGTTCTTGAAAATGTGCTGAACATATTTTGCTATGTTTAGAAGAAAACCAATTTTTTTCCCTGTTGCCAAAATCCATTTTTCCTTAACTTCTGGGTTTATCGGAAAACTAAAAAAAATATAAGAATATTGAATAAGAACAAATATTTATTGTTAAATAAAACTTACACTTTTTATTTAACAGCAAAATTTATTTCTAAAAATAATCCACTAGAATTGATTATACAAGGCATAGAATATCGATAGCGTCGATAAACTAAAATCTAAGCACATCCTTAATTGGCGTCTGGGATCAGCGGCCATACTACGACGCGTTGAAGGGCAAAGTATCGTTCAATAAAATCGATTTAAAAATGTATTATTTTACTCACCAATGATAAGAAATTCCTTTAGAAGAACAATAACCCTTTCCTGAACAGTTTGAACAGTTCGAAACACTGCAATAGACCATTTTTAACCACGTGCACCACGACTAACACTTGATGACTGCTTGTTTCGAACTGAGTCACGAAATTCTAGTAGTTGGCTTTTAAGCCATATACACGGCGCGCGTTCCCGGCTCGTATAACATTTCTACTAGCTATATTAAGTGTTCTGTGAAGATGAGTATAGAATGACCCCCGGATGGATTGACGTAGTCTTGGTAGGACAATGCAGGAAGTCAATATGCAGGTAGTTCAAGACTGTGGCTTTGTGGCATTTCATGGGCTTGGGGGAGGTCTACGTTAAACAGTAAACTTGTGAGGAGGGGTTGTAAAGATAACGATGACGGCAATGAAATCATTAGAAGTAAGATTCGACTAGTGCGGTAAATGTTAGAGAGTTTTCTCAAATACTAATTCTGAATATGAGACAGGTCCTGATCTCTCTAAGGTTGTGTCGGTTTACCATCCCTTTGGAGCCATCGAACTATGAAAGTGAGGGAATTGAGTGCCACAGGTGCACTCTCTATTTGCGCATACATTTGGGCACTATAATCATGCCCTGCGCCATTGGCTGGCCGCCGTGACCAAATTCGGTCTGGAGGACATTATTATTATGCTTAGACGTTTTTTTATGTATATTATATTGTTTAGTTATGTCTATTTGTGTTTATTTGAACACAAATAGTCATACGACGTCAACGACGTAGACAACGTTGTACCTAAAATCTCAATGGTTATAGCTCTAAGTAAGATCAAGAGGATCTCAAATAATTCAACCTACTCACAACGGAAAGTTATGTTGAATGCTGGTTTCTTGATGTTATTCAACTAATTAAGAAAATTCGTAGGATCGTAGGTCTGTTTCACAAAACTTATATTTTTGGCAATGATAGATAACAACCCGAAGTGAGTTAATTCACATCTTATTGAGGCTTGTTGTTTTATTATTTCGACGTACAAACCTGTTTGGGACTACGGGTCCTGGACAGTGGTATTCAAAGTTTTATGGCAAGAATGTTTAAGGCTTGCATTGCTTAGTAATTAGTTTTAATCTTAAACAATTACCTAAATAGGTAATTGTTTAAGATTAAAACTAATTACTAAGCAATGCAAATAAATAGGTAATTGTTTAAGATTAAAACTAATTACTAAGCAATGCAAATACATACATGTTTCAATGTAAATACATTGAATTACTATGAATTGAACAACCTGCCTGCCTAGCATGTATAAATTTCGGGAGCAATGCTCGCCATCTTGGCATTATGGGAAAGCATATTAACTATATCGTGGCTAGAAAAGGCTGTTGACATAATGCAATTATTTATTAAACTATGAATTTCGAATAAAGATTAAGATAAAGATGCGTTGTTACTTTTGAGGACTTAGGCATTGCCTCGTAACTAAACTATAAGGGTTTCCGGTTGTCGTCACTCACCATGCGAAACACACATCCTGTGTGAGCGTGATCCTTCCCCGGTAAAGCCAGCCTAATCGTGCTACAGCTACAATACACTGCAGCACGGTTCTAACTTCTAACAGGTATAAAATTTCTTAGTGAATCAAAATGTGACTGTTAACTGTTATTCTAAACGCATAAATATATTAAATTACTATACTTCCACGGAAATACCAGTAACTGTGAAGTTTAATTGTAATTATTATCAAAGAGCATTAAATAATCAAGGAATTCCACATATTTCTAATAATAAGTTTTTTTAACATAAATTTTAATGAATTTTGTTCTCATTTAGTAAAACTTGATCGTTCGTACCTGCAACTAAACCTAAATAATTAAAAATTACTTCTATAAACCATAACTAAAATATGAGTACATTACTCTAGAATTATAAGAACTCACTCACTCACACAATCACACAAGTTTTTCAAATTAATTAGGTAACTATAGAAAATAAGGATATGTCTCTCGATAAGTTTAAGCACCGATGATTAGGAACAACTGCTCACAATATACCGACAACGCACAAACCGTCGGTTTGAGCTTTTGGATACACACCCCTAAATAATACTTTATTACAAGAGACACAACGTAAATATTCCTTTGAAGCGAATTACAATTACGGTCACACCAATACAATTATTTTTGAAGATTGAAATTGAACTTAAAGAGTAGCAGTCTAAGTGTTAAAACGGATTAGGACTTTCATTATGTCTGTGTATGGATGAAAACTTTTTTGCTCTCACAGGTAAAAATATCTTGGACTTGACTTCCATCCAGTCTAAACGCGACGCGGAGTAACACGGTTGTTTTAAAACTTTGTAAAAGTTTATCTTAGCAAAAATGTTATAATAATGTAAAGCTAAATAAAAGTTTTGTTAAATAACAGTTTAAATGTAATGATTTATTAAATTCTGCTGTAAAAATACAGTGATTGTTCGTAGAACAACTTCGTGACATGTGTTCACTATCACAGTTCAGTTTTGATATAGTTTACTGTGTGCAGTAGGATGTTTTGCTGTCACAAAAGCACTTTGTAATACGGGAAATTTGACAGAAGTTATTTCTGGTAAGTTATGATAGTTACACCATAGCTAATTAGCACTGACTGACAAATTTAAGTTAACTGATGTTTCTTGTGAGAAAATAATCATCGGTGAAAGAACAAAGGCCAATCGAGATAAACTAGTTTGGAATGTAGGCGGTTTTTGGTTGAATCTCGTTACATTTAACGTTCTGATGTATCAAAGTCCTTTAAACTTTTGATTTAGTTTGCGGAAAGCTTACGTGGGCGGTTAGATAGAGGTATGGAATTTTTAAGATATACATAGATAGACGTTAACATTTAAAAAAAATCATATATTATTTAATGTAAAGAATTATTCATATAACTTCTGAACTTAACGATAATATTAAGTTTTGTATGAGCTTGCAATGTCAGCTTATGAACTTAATTTTCAGAAAAATTGCATTTAAAAAAATGCCCGAGTGAAGATTAATATTATACATAAATCACATGTAATATAGGTAAAATTTACTTTAGTTATGAATATTTTTTTAAAGTTCAGAGCTTTTAAAAAAATTTACTAAAATATTTTAAAAAATACATTTATTGCATTCTTTAACTATAAAAGAAATATATCTGAAGCTATTAATGAATATTAGTATTCGACATGGTCTTTTTAAAAAAAAAAATAGTAATAATAAATTACCGCACCATATTATTTCGTGGGTGTCGTAGGTAAGAGACGACAGAGGTAAACAAACCAGGATTTCGAGTAGTGTATATATTCTTTGCCAGGATAGAGGCAGCAGCGTCTTCCAAATAACAACTAAAAATAAAAATAAACTGTGGTTGCCAACCTGATTGCCAAGCGTCGCAACTATGGTAAACATTCGGTTCGGGGGGTGGGGGGAGGGGTGAAGCCCAGGTTCAGCGGTGAACTTTTGATAAACTGTAACAGTAACGGTAAAACAATATATTTCTTTTTTCTTTAGTAGTAAGGTCCATAATACAGTGGGTGCTTAGTTATAACATGGTTAGTCATTCAGTCATATTTTTTATAGCATTCTGTGATAAACTAGCAAGCAGTCCACCTGATGGTAAATAGATACTGTGGGCTCATAGACATACCACATTTATCTTCAATTAAGAATCAAAGTGCGGATGCTTTGTCACCCCTGAGGACTAAGAATGCCTCGATTCCAGAAAAAAGGGTCTCTGGTTTTCTACACTCACCTTACGAAACACAGCAGCATTAAGCTACTATTCGACGCTGGTATTCTGTGAGAGCGTGGTCCTTACCCGGTAGAGCTGACCCAATCGTGCTACAACTATAGTATAGCTGCAGCGTGGTACATAATCAAAAACCTTTACCTGAGAGGACGAAGTCTTAAATTTATTTAAGTTTATGCATTGCATACTAAGTCAATTAGTGTTTGTTCCGTATGTTAAATTTCTAAGAATAAGCTTAAGTCTTAGATATTTAGTAACCTACATGAATTGTAAAATCAAAACACAAACAAACCCGCCAACGCGGCTCTATTGATGAAGCATAGTTGTAGCGGATTCCTTTGATATTTTCCCACAGTTACATGATGTGTTACTTAGCGTGGAACTAATTGCACGGTCGTTGGCTTACCGCCTGTTATGGAATGATGTTTTTACAATCGATAAAATAAATATGATCGCAGTCTTACTATATTTTATTCTGTGAACTGATAAATAAATAGCTAACAACAAATCGCTACTGAGATAACGCTTGATTAAGCCCCATAACCGTATTTATAGCTGCTTGCATCCATAATTAGCGAGGTAAAATATTTATTTCAATTCCTTACTTTTTTACTATAGCTTTCCTGATTAAATAATCTGTAAAACTATTTAAAGTAAGTATAATATGTTAATCAAATTATTAAAATATAATTAAGTCGCAGGATTACAGTGCCTATTCTCTATTTCCTCATTCTCATAGTCCGAAGCCGATAGCACCGTTATCCGACCGAAGAGAGATTAGGTGTTAAGTGCTTTACGAGACACTAGGTTGAAACTTGAAACATATGAGAATTTCTTGATAAGAAAACTGAAGAACTGATTTTGGCTCGACCCGGTATTTAAAACCGGGACCTCATGATACTCGGAAACCAATCAGGCAGTCAAAGAGAAAAAAGTCAAAGGTGGCAATGATTATGGTGGTTATAATCGCGGCTTGTCATTCCTAATGCATTGGCGAGCCAAACAATTATTCTTTAAAGATTATGAAAGCAACGTGTCAAATTTCATAAAACTGACCTTGTTCGTTAGCTTACAAAATAATTTAAATCGGCGATCCCCAAGACCTATGGTAAAGCTCGCCCGTCGAGTTAAACCCCTAATAGCGACGGGTGAGCTTTACCGCGATTTTAGGCGTCCCACTGTAGCTAGAACAGGCCTCTATTTCTTTATCTTCTTTTTGTCTCATTTTTGTAGGTTAGTTGGTTTTACTAAAAGAGTTTTTGAATGATTTTATTTTTAATTTTCGTACAATAATACAAATTGTCAGTATATTAAATTATATAGTATAATAATCTTCATCTTTGTGGGTCCGTAAAAGTTGGACACCCTGCTGGACATGAATCTCTTCAGCTTCCGTTGTAAAAAGGATTTGCCTTAATCGCCATACAGACAGACGGATTGGCGATCGAAGTTTATAGTCTCCTCAGACCTATAACCATGCACCCCATCCCCGGTTTAGGTATTTTGCATCAGGCGTTAACTAGATGGTTAAACTATTTTAAAGTGCCGTCTATCGAAAACCATCAGATATCTCCATAGTCGTCTATTAAAACACCCATGGAATGAAATGTGATAATGGATTCTCATACGCCTCCATCATTCGGCAGGGTACTGAATTCACGTATGTGTATGTATGTAGAATGCCCTCACATTAATCATTGATGCAAATGTAGACAACGTTAAAAAAATTGTATTATCGATATGTAAGATTTACTTGCCTACAGTGTTAGAGATATTACTTTTAATCTAGTCACAATTGTGAGTTTGTAGAAATGTTGTACCCCTCTGATCGAAGTTAGAACCTAGAGTAGGTACTTTCCGTGGTAAAGCCGTGATGCAGCTATATTTTGTTTGTAGTACGAATGGGTCAGCTTGACCGGAGAAGGACCACGCTCTCACAGAATACCAGCGTAAATAGCAGCTTAATGATGCTGTGTTTTGTAACGTGAGTAAAGATAGGTACGTGTAAGAACGATACGAGTAAATACAAGTACTTACTCAATACATTACTTCCGATACCAAGTACTTTTTGTTTCGATACTTTAAAACTAAGTATCAAGTGGGTATCGGTCCAAAGTATTTGTATCGGTATGCCTATTTCACAATTTTATTTTAACATATTGATGAATAGGTAATAAACTCATCTATACTAACTTCGATCAACAATACCAACTATTACAACAATAACAACCAAAAATTGGTATTGTTGATCGAAGTATACTGATAAAAAATATTTTTTATATCATATATTGAAATTTTTGAACGCATCCAAGTCCTAGTTTTGTTAGGTTTGTGTAATAGGCAAGCTTGTTAGTCTATGCCCGAGAGAGAAAAACTGTCTGCCAAAAACTAATATTCTTGGGCCCTTTTTGTGGGAAGGATTCAAAAACGGACTTTTTCATAGAATTCTTTTTATGACATATATTCGTATTGATAAAGAATATCAATACCTGTTACTATTTTTATTTACTAAAATCGATCGATATGAGTAAGTATCGATACTTTTCAAACGATATTGAATAAGTGTCGATACTTAACGACCCATACTGTATCGAGTAAAATTATTGATACCCCAATGTTATCGTTTCATCTCCAATGGTGAGTGTAGAAAAGCGGAGACTCTTTTTAATGGAATCTGCATTTTTATTATCTTATCTGCATTTATATTAATCGAGGACCTAGCCTAGTTCACAAGGTCGTTGTTTTAATGGGCTGAGAATATAATAGGTATGGCGCATTTAAACGTGGGTAACATGTGACTATATCACTTGACACAATTTTGCCAATTGATGCCAGTGTCTTCAGCTGCAATTGACCTAGCATTTTAAAGTTAATTAAACCAGACTCAAGTGTTGGACTAATTTAAACGAATAATACTCAAGTCCGAAATAAACGCCAAGAGAACTCGAAATAAATTGAATAACACGATCAAGCTTCATTCTTTTCAGTTCTCATTGAACCCGTTCACTTTGGCGTAAATAGGAACCCCGTTTTATGCTATATTTGTTGAACGAATATTTTGTTAGTCAGATTAAGTTACGATCCTATTGTCGGAGCAAATGTATGTACGATTTTTGTGATATTTTTTAATGAAATTTTAATATTAACGGACCGTACTTTTGATATTATTTACGAAAGCATTGAGTAAATCCTAAGTTGCTTAAGATATTAAGAATACGATTAAAACAAGTGGTAAAATTAAACATTTTGTACAACCGACTTCATTATTAATAAAATGAGAACATTATCAATGTAGTCGAAGTCAATACTATTGGTCAAATCTTGATCAAATTTATATTTTATTTTAAAGCAACAGCTTTAAAATAAAATATAAATAAAAAAAGAATAAGTAACTAAATCGATTCACATGGAAAAAAAGTTATGAGGTAACACACTTAAAAAAATATAGTCGAATTGAGAATCCCCTCCTTTTCTTTTGAAGTCGGTTGAAAAAGTAATCAACTGCATTCACATTGAAGTACCTATATTTTTGCAATTATAAAATTTTTAAAATTAACCCTTCAATCCCCATAAAAATCCCATGCAGTCGCATGCGTCCGTCAAATCCCGAGCGGCCTCATTCGAAGGTACCCACCCACAGCACTTTAAACCATTAAAACTTATATTTAGAGACTCTATCCTGTGGTCTAAACAAAAGTCAGGTTTTACTTCATACTAAAACATACCAAGCCGATGTCGGCAGCGTGAAAATCATTTATTTCTTTATATTACTCGAAATTATTTACGTAAAAAGATAAATTATATTCACACAAAACTTTTATTACAATTTTATA